TAGGAACAATCATTTAGGTTTCTTAAATTATTTAGCCAATTATTCTCTAACTTACAAAAAGCAGGTGCTAAATATTCTGAGTAAAAAAAGAATTCTCTAACTTACAAAATGAGATAATTTCCATAAACATAATTTAACATCTCTTACAGTTCTGAGGTCATGTTCTGGAATATTAAATACACCCCTCTTCAGTCTGATTCTTAGTAACAGCTGAATGCAGCAAAGTTGATTGGGTTGGTTGATTTGCCCTAATTCATAACTGAGTTGATCCTGAAATCAGCAAAGTGAAGTGAAGTGACCAAGGTTTTGGCCCCCATGGACTTGGACACTGGAGATCAATTAGAGGAGAAAGAGGAATATCTAAGGGTTAGTGACTTAAGGTTCTACATATGAAGTATAGCAGTTCATCCTTCTGTCTTCTGATGGTAGAACCTGAGGAAATTAAGTATAAAATGTCTTATTCTGTTTTCACTGAAACGAGGTAATAGAAAAGGAAGAAGTCTTATCTAAGCACTACTTATGCAAACAGAAAAATATTTCACAAGAGTTGGTGAAGTTGTTTTCGGATTTCACCGTAAAGAGGATGACTAGCTGCAGGAGCTGTAAGGAACGAATATTATAAAGTGTTATCTGCTATTTCTTCCTCATAAATTTTGGCACATAAAGAAGAGATTCTCATTTCAGAAAGAGTTCTGGTTTAATGCAGTGACTATTGATCAGTGACATAATGTTACTGAAAGTCTGATAGACTATCAGAACACAGTTTGAGGTTTACATGTTTTCTATAATATATGGAATGTTCGCAGAGGATGGTGTCACTATAAAGCTGCTTTTTCTCCCACTAAACAAACTGAAGAACTTTGGACAAGGTGAGTCATAGTAATAGAATTAATATGAGTTGATTTGGGTTTGTTTTAACCTAGAAAGCTATTTTGGAAATGTTGTTTTCCCATCATAAGGAAACTCTCTGCTGCACAGGGAATAGACAGTTCCACAACAAATTGGAAAAGCAAATGTAAATGTAAAAATGTAAAACAAGGCAACATGTACTTGTTAGTGTTGCACTATGTGTAGCTCTCAAACAATGTGACATTAATAAAGACAATTTCTCTGGGTCTGAGGACTCTCCATAGTTTACACAGGGACTGGGCAAATTACAGTGACACTAAGGACCTGCTATGTGCTGAACACACAGAACTCTGAATTCTCTTTACAGCTGCCCTATACATTGTTGACGTTGAGGTAGCTGAGTCTATGACAATATGCTATTGGTCTCCTGCTGATTCTCTAAAGGAGTTTTAAAAATGTTATGAGTTAACTATTCATAACATTTGCAAAATAAATTCAGGACCCTACAGTTGCTACATTTATGCTATTAGTTCCTATGAAATGAGGGCTTTTTTTTAACTCTATAAATTTCATCAATGTATCTTTTAGAATGAGAAAGAAAAAAATTTTTTTTCCTGAGGAATGCAAGCCCCCTTTAAACTATCAGGCCCAGAGAGACATTGAAAATGTGGCCGCAGTCACATCTCACTCTTCCTTGAGCAAGGTAATCGTCTTCTGAAGCTACGTGCTATGGGGGCTGTAGACCGACTTGTGTCCACTAGCCATGAATTAACCTATCAATGCCCTATACCACATATCCTATAGTTAAATAATGCATAACCAATCACTGATCAATGTTGTTTCTGAAATCAGTGAGACTTTCTGACTAACAAGTTTAGAATTTGTCTCCTCTCCTGATTCCTCCCTTTCTTTACCTTAGAAACTTGGGTCTCTTCTTTGTTCTCCAGGGTACTTCCCAAGGAAGTGTTTCTGGGCTGCAGCCCTCAAACTTGGCCCAGATGCACTTTCTATATTAATTTGTCTCAGTGCCATTCTTTAAATCAACAAGAATGACCAAGGCAGTCACTAATCTTAGACTCACTTGGTAGCTACAGGAACAATATTTACCCAGCTATAATGTAACCAACAGAGTGATGCTTCCTGTAATTCCGTTGCATTAAATAAGGTCCCATGTCTAATAAGGAAAGCTGCTGGACAACAATGGAAATAGATCCTAAACTCAAACTCCAATATTTCATGACCTAAAAGTTTCAAGTTCTAGATTCACAGGATCCTAAAAGTAGCTATTCTCTTCCATTGCCCAACAACATGCCACCTTTCCATTTTTGGAAACAAAATCGTTATTGTAATAAGTGCCATAAAACAATCTTTATCATACTCGGAGGCTGTGGTCTATGCAAGAAAGAATCAAAATGTCTCCCTTCAAAACAACTCCAGGATGGAACACATAAACTTAGACCCAAGTCAGCTTGTTCAGGCCTTGGTATTGGACACACCTCATGGGATCCTGCTGCCACATTTCTTCCCCTGGATTTAAACCTGGATTAAGTAAAGGAATTCAGAAAGGAAGACATACTTAAGTCATAAATCACAAATGTCCTCCTACTCACACTGGCTTTTCCAGTTGAATAGATTTGCAGGTGCTTGATTCTACTGTCATCTATGGTACTGAAAATCAGACTACAAGAACAAAGAGTGAACATCCTCTCTAATCTCCGCATGCTTCAAACAAGTCTGAAAATTTAAGTAGGCTTGATCTTTTGCAGCACAGCAATAATTACAGAATTTAAGTTGACTGAAGTGTTTTACACACAGGAAGGCATTTACCATATAATTATTAAATTGGGGGTACTGAAATGACTAAAAATTTGAAGCTGCTACACAGGATCAAAATGTGATTCTATCACTAACAGTATTTGAGAAGGTTATTATTTACATCTATAAATACGACTTTAAATACTTGAAAACTGAAGATAAAATGCCTAAATTCACAGAATTTATGTTGTGGAAAGGTTGTAATAAATAACGTGAAGAAGAGTTGAAATAATTTATGGTACCTCAAAGACTCCTATATATAGTATAGATAAATAGAAAATAGATAGGTAGATATGTACATACACACATACGTGTGTGTGTGTGTATATATATATATATATGTTATATAATTTACTGATCTGTTATATTTCCATTATGACACTACTTTTTGCTTCCAGCTGTGGCAAATACAATTTAAAAAAAAATAAAATAAACCTACTATGCAATCTGTGAGGTTTACTATGTATAATTTACTTACATGAAGAAAAGAATATTGTATGCAAATATCCATGCATTTGATATTGAGTTCTGTAGGTCTTCAACATCTGAAAACCTTATTAGGGAAGAGAGAATGTTTAAATAATATTTTAAAATTAATGTGAATCTTATCAGACTTACAAAACCTTTATAGTTCAAGGAGCGTTTTGCATTGTGGGTACATTTTCAGGAAAGGCACAGAAGTGCCTGTCAGGAACATGAAAAGCAGAGTATTAAGGAGAGGATTGAGATTTATCTTGCTGGAATAGTGTCAGCTGGGGAGGAATGACCAGAAATTAAAGATGAAGAAGAGGGCTAGGTAATTCAGTACTTATAATTTAAGCATATAGAAAGTTTCTGAGTCATACATGACAGTTTCTATTGTAATTATGCCCTATTAGATAAAAACATTGGGGAATGTAGGTATTCCTGCCTTCCTCAGTTCCTGTGACTTGCCAATAACTCATAAGTGATATGACTGGTTGTTGCGGAAAGTCAGGGACCCTGAACAGAGGGACCAGCTGAAGCCATTGCAGAAGAACATAAATTGTGAAGATTTCATGGACATTTATCAGTTCCCCAAATTAATACTTTTATAATTTCTTACACCTGTCTTTAATGCAATCTCTGAACATAAATTGTGAAGATTTCATGGACATTTATCATTTCCCCAGTCAATACTCTTGTGATTTCCTATGCCTGTCTTTAATTTCTTAATCCCGTCATCTTTGTAAGCTGAGGATGTATGTCACCTCAGGATCCTGTGATGATTGTGTTAACTGCACAAATTGTTCATGAAGCCTGTGTGTTTAAACAATATGAAATACGGGCACACCTTGAAAAAAGAACAGGATAACAGCGATGTTCAGGGAACAAGGGAGATAACCATTAGGTCTGAATGCCTGAGAGCCGGGCGGAACAGAGCCATATTTCTCTTCTTACAAAAGTGAATAGGAGAAATATCACTGAATTCTTTTTCTCAGCAAGGAACAGCCCAGAGAAAGAGAACACATTCCTAGGGGGAGGTCTCTAAAATGTCCACTCTAGGTATGTCTGTCTTTTATGGTTGCAGATAAGGGATGAAATAAGCCCCAGTCTCCTGTAGTGCTCCCAGGCCTATTCGGATGAGGAAATTCCTGCCTAGTAAATTTTAGTCAGACAGGTTGTCTGCTCTCAAACCCTGTCTCCTGATAAGATGTTATCAATGACAATGCATTCCCAAAACTTCATTAGCAATTTTAATTTCGCCCCAGTCCTGTGATCTCGCTCTGCCCCCATTTGCTTTGTGATATTTTATTGCCTTGTGAAGCATGTGATCTCTGTGACCCACACCCTATTTGTACACTCTCTTCTCTTTGAAAATCACTAATAAAAACTTGCTGGTTTTGTGGCTTGAGGGGCATCACACAACCTGCCGACATGTGGTGTCTCCCCCGACACCCAGCTTTAAAATTTCTCTCTTTTGTACTCTTTCCCTTTATTTCTCAGACCAGCTGACACTTAGGGAAAATAGAAAAGAAGCTATGTTGAATTATTGGGGGTGGTTCCCCCAATAACTGGCGAGGAGTTATCTAGAAAGGAATGCTTTAATTATCTTCTTTATCTTGCTGCCTACAGGGCTAGATTTTCTACTGAAAGACCTCACATGTATCTGTGACTTGTTGAGATGCTTACCAGAAACAATTGGGTAGGGAACATTCCATTCAGATACAGAAATTGATTCAACAAAACCTGCAGTGTTAGTGGAGAAACAACGCATTCTAAACAAACATTGAAAAACTCAGTTCCTTTTTGTTTTTCTGTTGTGTTTCATTTCATGTTTTCTGCTTTGCTTTTGTTTCTATTTCTCTTTTGACACAGTTACAGCAGAAAGTTTTCATGGAGAAATGGAATCACACATCAAATGATTTCATTTTGTTGGGTCTGCTTCCCCCAAATCAAACTGGAATATTCCTCTTGTGCCTTATCATCCTCATATTCTTTCTGGCCTCAGTGGGTAACTTGGCCATGATTCACCTCATCCATGTGGATCCTCGTCTCCACACACCGATGTACTTTCTTCTCAGCCAGCTCTCCCTCATGGACCTGATATACATCTCCACCACCGTCCCCAAGATGGCGTACAACTTCCTCTCTGGCCAGAAAGGCATCTCCTTCCTGGGATGCGGTGTGCAAAGCTTCTTCTTCCTGACCATGGCGGGTTCTGAAGGCTTACTGCTGACCTCCATGGCCTACGACCGTTATGTGGCCATCTGCCATCCTCTGCATTACCCCCTCCACATGAGTAAAATGATGTGTATGAAGATGATTGGAGGCTCTTGGACACTGGGTTCCATCAACTCCTTGGTACACACAGTCTCTACCCTCCATATTCCCTACTGCAGGACTAGGGCCATTGACCATTTCTTCTGCGATGTCCCAGCCATGTTGCTTATTGCCTGTACAGATACTTGGGTCTATGAATATATGGTTTTTGTAAGTACAAGCCTCTATCTGCTCTTTCCTTTCATTGGCATCACTGCTTCTTATGGCCGAGTCCTATTTGCTGTCTATCATATGCGCTCAAAGGAAGGGAGAAAAAAGGCCTTAAGTACCATATCAACACATTTAACTGTTGTGGTCTTTTACTATGCACCTTTTGTCTACACCTATCTTCGGCCAAGGAATCTCCGCTCACCAGCTGAAGACAAGATCCTGGCAGTCTTTTACACCATACTTACCCCCATGCTCAATCCCATTATCTACAGCCTGAGGAATAAGGAAGTCCTGGGGGCCATGACAAGAGTGTTTGGGATATTCTCTTTCCTGAAAGAATAATCATGGCCTTCCCTATTCCCTTCGTATTTCCTCTTTCCAAGTTGGTTTGAACACCCTAGAGCAGAGTTGTCCAATAGAAATATAACATAATTTAAAATTTTCTAATAGGTACATTTAAGCAGTCAAATAAATTTAAATAATATGTTTAATTCAAAACAATGCTATAATTAATATTAATTTTAACAACATAGATGTTAATTACATAGCATACATTGTCAGTATGTTATATGCAATATATTATAGTACATGTCTGTACATATATTACCATTAATGTAATAATGCTTATACTCATATATTGACATAATTTCTACATGTAACAACACAAAATAATTAATGTGCTTTTACTTTGTTTTCATTCCAAGTCTTCAAAGTCTTGTGTTTATTTTATACTAGAGTGCAGTACAGCATGGGCAAAACACATTTGAAATGCCCAGTAGTCACATGGCGTCAGTGTCTACAGTGTTGGACAGCACAGCCTTAGAGTATCCAATCAAAAGTTTTCAGAGTTTTTTATATATATGTGTGTGTGTGTGTATGGTGTATAAAAATGTGTCTTTAGTATATACAGTTTTGCTGATGGGCTGAAAAGTAACAAGCAAAACTCACACGCTAAAGTAGTGGTTATGTGTTTCTCTATCTGTTGGCTCATTTTCAGAATGTACACATTTATTGTAATTGCCATCTGGAGTCTATTTTATCCTAACATTCTTTAATAAAACTATTCAGGGAGACCTTATCTGAGTTATGATTTTGCTGATTTCAATAAAAATACTGAGATCAAATAACCTGAAGAAGAATATAGGAACAGTTTACATTCATGTATACATACCAATTAAAATTATTTAAATAAAGTTATCAAAGTTATTTGTACTTAAACAAATTATTTACATAAAGGCAGGGAGACAATGACAGGGTAGAGACAACATGCAACATATAAAATGGAAATTGGGATGTCAGGCTTCAGCTATGATTTGTAAAATATATACATGACTTTGCACAGGATGAAATCCTATGTTACTGTATCAAACATTGTGTTTAACAAAAGTTTTACTACTGTTATTTTACTAATTCACTTAAGTTACTTCAAGTCTATCAATGGTTGGAGTTATGGAAGGGTTTTATTTTTGTGGAAAAAATTGAGACTTATAGTAATACATCTCTCTCATTTATTGCCCAAATTTAAGCTCCTAATATCTTTCTCTAATTTCTGACTACCTTCTTAAGTGTTTTCATGTCTTCAGTCCAGTTCTTACTTAGAATATAATCTACTCATTGCCATTTGAGTTATTTGTCTAAACATAGAGTTGATCTTGTCATTCTATAATCTATGATTCCTGCTAGATTATCTAAATTTTGGAACCTTACTTTTTTAATCTCATATCCTATGTTTTTAAGGTGTGCATTGTGTCTCCCTTTACCTGTTTCTAGGACTCACACTCACTACCACAGTCACTCTATACCTCCTGCGTTTCTCTGTAGCCCTCCATTTCCCTGCCTATCTGAACCTTATCACAGAGCATTTCTCACTTCTGGAAAGTTCTATTTTACGTAGCTTATGACTATCAATCTGAATCCCACATAATCAGTAAACATAATTCAAAATTTACATCCCATCTTCTCTTATGCATAGCTGATATCTCTTCCCCCACACTTCTACTCCTGTTGTGCTTATAACATTTTATTACCACTCATTTCTGTTTGTGTCTTCTTTTAAATTGAAGCTCATGGAATATTTTAAAATTATAATAATTAGGATTAGAAGGCCAACTAATATTTAATTACTGTAAATGCATTTCCTGCATATATAACTTAATCTTCACAACACTATGGGGTTCTGATATTAGTTCCATGTTGAGTGAGCACTTCGACGCTTGGTGAGGCAAAACAAAGAAACAAGAAAAATCCTGCCTTAGCTCAGAGAACTTGGAAGGGAAGAACACAACTTAGAAACCAGTTTTCTTTGAATCAGAGATGAGGCTCTTAGTCTCCATGTCACCCAGTCTCTGTATGAACAAGACCCTTGTCATTCTGGTCTGAATATCCCCACAGAATGAAGCACTATGACATGCAATGAGGGGTGCATTTATTTGTGGTATGTTATTTATGTTTATTGGTATGCAACACATGTTTAAGGGACTTGTGATCATGCCACCTTACAGATCTAGGAAAAATATAAACAGATAGTTTCTCTACACAGAGTTAGAGTTCATTATTTCGAATTTCCTTTTACTTCTTCAAATGGGTTGTCGCTCATTCAGGGAGATACATTCCTCACTCCGTGATACATCTTACTCCTTTTTTCTAAATTCAAGCAGAAAACCTAAATTTTTCTGCTCTGAATATGACCCCTAGGAATAATTTTTGTGTTTTGATTTTGACTTTTTTTGGAGATTCTACCACTGCTTTGATGTTAAAGAATCACCAATGTTATAAGTCCTTATTTAGTAAAAAGTATAATATATCCTCATGTATTCTGGAGAAATTAAACAATTTGATCAGGCTTTATACAAAAACAATAAACCACAATTGTGATATAACACTGAGCATAAAAAATGGCTCCAGAATTTCTGCAAGAAAAGGCAAATGGAAGAATTTCTCCAGCAAAAGCAATTGGAAGGCTGGTGAAGTTCATTCAAGTTAATTAACAAGAACCATATCACATAGGAAGGGTTCAGTATGTAAGGCATATTATACTATTTTATATATAGTATACAATATTATATGCCATATTATATAGTATATAATATTAATTTATTATATTAAAATAATAATTAATCCAATTAATAATTTATTGATTAATTTATTGTTAATTGATTAAATTAATTAATTAGGTATCTATTGGACCCTTCCTATGTAATTCTCCTATGTAGTTCTCGTTCCATTAGGTAAATTCTTCCTATGTAGTTCTCATTCCATCAGGTAAAATTATGGACAAACAGGTATAGTCTTTTACCTTGTGGAGACCACATGCTGATGTGAGCCATAAAAACATTAGTATATATTATCTGGTCAAACTGGGCAGTGATGAATTCAGGGAGAAAAGTAGTAAATGAGTTATCACACGGAGTCATCAGGTCCCTCTAACATGATGAAGGGGCTGGCCATGTCAACCTGATGGATAAAACCCACAAAGCCCTCTGATGATTGAGATAGGAGGCAGTGAGCAGAAAGGAGTAGGAGACATAGATCAGGGCCTTCTCAGGGCCAGGTGAAGGCAAATAATCTGGATTTTATTCTAAAGGTAGCAGAAGCCTTGCAGGGAAATATTTTCTCAAATACTAACATCCACAGCTACTTGGCCAGTCACCTGGTGTGAACTCTGGGAAAATATCTGAACACATGGCAAAATGGGCAACATCACAGCCAATACTTCCAAAGACACACTCTGAGTTTTAAAGGAGTCATTTGTTTTATATCAAGGTTTAGTTTGATTCTTGGAGGGATATTAAACTTGAGGTGGCTCTAAAGAACCACGATTATTTACAACTGTAATTGTTCTCGGCATGTTTTTCTATGGCATAGGAGGATAACTAGAGTAAACGATAATGTATTGCATATTTCAAAATTGCTAGAAGAGAGGTTTTTGAATATTCTAATCACAAATAAATGATAAATGTTTAAGGTGACAAATATACTAATCATCCTGACTTGATCATTACGCAGTGTATACGAATATCAAAACATTACATTGTCCTCCACAAATATGGTGATTGGTATTCAGTGTAAGTTTAAGTCAATTGTGATTATGCCACATTTCGGAGCCAGGAAAAATGTAAGCAGATACTTTCTCTACACAGAGACATAAATAACAATTTTAAAGTGAATAAATAAAAGAAGCTCTTCCTGGGAGGAGTCCAGATGCTACACTTCTCTGTTATTGTTCTTTCTCAATTCCCCTTCCAATTCCAAGAACAGATCAGTGGCGTAATCACAGAGGGAAACAGGAATGGGATATTATCATGACACATCCTAATGAAGTGGCCAATGACATTGAGGTGGTGAGTTTCTGTCAACTAAAGGATCCCAGCCCAGGACAGAAAAATGATGTTGAAAAATTGCATTCTGCTACTTCTCCCAGAGCAGAAACTACCACAAGAAAATGTGTGAAGTTTTTTGAATCGACCAATAATTTTATATATATTGGGGTACAATATGATGTTTTATATATGTTTATAATGTAAAATGATTACGTTAGGCTAATCAACAACCCCATTACTTCCCATATTTATTTTTTTGTGTAGTAAAAACTTTTAAAATCCACTTTGAGTAATTTTGAAATATATAACACACTATTATTCATTACAGGCATCATGCCGTACAATAGATCAATAACACTTATTCCTCCTGTCTAACTAAAACTTTATATTCTTTGATCAACAACTCTTTTCCCATACACTCTTATCCTCTGCCTCTTGTAACCAACATTCTACTCTCTACTTCTGAGTTCAACTTTTCTAGATTCCACATATAATGAGATCACTTAGTATTTGTCTTTTTTGAGCCTAGCTTATCGACATCGTATTTTGTTGTTTGGGTTGATCCATGTTGTCAAAAATGACAAGGTTTCCCCCATTTTTGAGGGCTGAATGAAATTCCATTGTGAACACTTACTATATTTTCTATATCCATTCATCTTAAGATGGATATCTAGGTTTCTTCATATCCTTACTAATGTAAATAACACTGCAGTGAACATAGGAGTGCAGATATCTCTTCAACATACTGATTTTAATTTCTTTGGTTATGGAGATTGTATGGTAATACTATTTATAATTTTCTGAGGAATCGCTTTAGCTTTAGCTTACATCACAACCAACAGTGCACAAGGGTTTCTTTTCCTCCACCCCTTCACCAACACTTGTTATGTTGTATCTTTCTGATAAACCCATTATGACAATTGTGAGGTAATAGCTCATTGTAGCTTTAATTTGTGTTTTCCTGATGATCAGTGATATGAGCGTTTTCTCATATATCTGGTGGTCATTTGAATGTCTTCTGTTGAGAAGTGTCTATTTAAGTCCTTCAACTATTTTTTTATGGTATTATTTGTTTTC